TTTCATTGCAATGAAACGATGAAATATTGCATGACATCACTTCTGTGGCTTAACTCAGTGTCTTCAAATAAGATACAAAAAGCTGACTGCCAGTACAAAAGCATCCAATACTTTGGAGCCTTAAAATAATAGTTAAGGAACGCAAGGAACGCACACGTTGGCGCATACATAGACACAAAAATACGTGCGCACACGCACGCGCGAGCTAGCACGCAAACACAAACACAAGCGCACGCAGCCGCTCATCCACATACGCATGCGCGAACATAGACATACACAAGCGCACGCACACTCTGACATGCACAGACGCAGACATACGTGTGCGCACACGCAGGCGGGAATACAGACATACAAGCACACGTACTCCCATAAACACACACACACACACACAAACAACACACACACACACACACTTCATACAGAATCGCAAACAACCGCACGTGAACCCCTGCACACACAAGCAGATACGTGCGCACAAACACAAACGCACACACATGGAGGCAGGCGCACACGTACACACACATAAATGCGTTCACAATCACCGGTTAGGAAGTATACACTTTGTCTTATAAATTGCTTATTTTGATAACTAACGCATGCACGAACACACAAGAGAGCTTTGTCAGGGTACAGAGAAAGCAGCATAGCATAGTGACTCACTCAGAAAAAGCTATACTCATGCATATTTGTACTCCGTACTTTAGTCAACGGACAGTGTGGTTATGCGATGACCAGTATGAGCTTCGTTGAGATATACAGCGAAAGTGCTAACAAGTACCTTGTAGAGAACGACGTGCTCGAAAGGAGCGAAGTTCTTTATCCTAATGATTTCAATACACTGCCTCATGCGTTAGGCACTTTTTCGTCTTGGGAAATATAAAATAAATTTACTACTTTCTTTGACCTGCTGCTGCACGAAAGGTGCAAAGCCATGCATCGCCACGAAAAATGAAGCTCAGAGTTCAAATCTGAAGCACGTTCGGAGCGCGGAACCTGTAGGGTTTATGGCGTGCGTGGTGAATGAAAGGTGCACTAAGCTTGCTGGCGCGCGTGTCACGTGACGTCAGGGTCACCTGACTGGCGGGTAGCATGTGTCTCAGCCACTCGGCGCTGCAGATGCGCAGGCTCCGCAAAAGAAGGGGGGAAAAAGAAGGTTGACGGCGCGGCGAGAGTGAGGTGGCATTGTTAAAGGAGTGTTAGTATTTTATAGTCTGGGGGGGAAGGGGTTAAGTGGCCTATAATTCTTTTATGCGTTTGCCCGTGGTGGCGGAGGGGTGCGCTCATTGAGGAACCCTAAAATGGCCATATACGGTACGTATCTTCGCAGCGACAGTCTTCTGACCACAGCTGATTAATATGGCGATCGTGGTAGACATCGCCCAAGCTGCTAGCTGCTGTAAGAACAGCATTGCTGTTTCCTCCATCTTCTAGGCCTGAATTTTTTTTTTTTGACATGGTGGATTTATGGCAAAGAAGTTATGAACTCGCCACGGACACGCTCATAAACGCCACGAGCGAGACCCGTGCACGTGCACGAAGTATTGAGGCTTCCGGCAATGTCCTCTGCAACTCGCGCTGTAACCTGCCGGTAATCTCTGTGTCACGTTACCCGTCTTCCTGGCTAGATCTCGTTACGTTTTCCCGTCGAAGTCGGAGTGGTCGGGAGTGTTCCGAGACAGAATCTGACGCTCCGAAAGAACCAATTGAAGGTTGTGCGAGCGCTAGAATTCTGCTAACTGAACCCGCTGCCACTTTCGAAATGCTCGTAAACTCTGATGCGAATACGCCATCAGACAACGCCTGCTCTCAACAAAAGCAAACAAAGCAAACAAAGAGCCTGGTACAAATACACCTGTATTTTTGTTTAACGAATAAACGAAAAAGAACTGTGACAGAGATTACAATAAGGTGCCAATTCGAGCAGCAAGCAGTAGTCAGCGTGTGTGTTCCAATACTTCGCGAACGTTTTTTGCATATTTGCGCAGGCTAGGGTGGCTTGGGGTAAAATTAGACGCGGGGAAAAACGTGGCCTTTTGAACTTACCGAATTTTGTAGCTATTACAAATGTACTTTCTTTGATCCCAGCACACCACGGTAACTCCTCTCATCGGTTCAGCTTATAGCACCGGCCATGTACCGTTTGCGCGCCTGCAAAATCGGTGGCGCGCATTGCGGAACCGCAGTGATTGCCGTGAACTTTTCGTTCCGGTCCGGGGTGTTAGCTCTCGGAAACGGTCGGGCTCGCGACAAGTCGGCACCTGAGGAGCCTATTGTTGAATTGGCATGTCTTCTATTGCTGCCGCATGAAGTCTTGCAAATGAGCTCGTAAGCGGAACTACGGGCGGTGAGCGGGCGGTTCCTCTTTTAGCGCACTGGGAACAGGCGGATCGTTGCCCCGTCGTCAAGAAGTTGACGTATTACAGGGAGCCGTTCTAAGGCCGCCAAAGCCCAGTACGTGTAGCTCTAAGTCTAGATAATTGTGCGCCGCGGAGCTGGTCCATGTTTCAATGACGTTTTATAGTTTTGTGTTATTTACATTTTGGTTGTTGTGATATTTGTGGAGAGGGCATGGGCCTTCATGTGCAAGAAGGTCGCGCCCTCGGGGCTGGTTTTTGATCGACGAAGTTCACTGTCTTATCAGTGGTCAAGCAGGCGACGATTCGCCGAGAGTTGTGTAAGGGCGGAGCACCGAGGGGATAAGAAAATTAAGAAGAGGCTCCGAAGTTCCGCCAAGTGTTCTGAACCAGGCTTGAAGTGTTAGGCACCATCGGTTCTGCCGAATCTCGTAGGGTCGCCCTACAGAAGACGGTTCATTTCAAAGTGTTTTTTTAAGTGTTTGAAAAAATTCTTTTTTTTGTAACTTTTGTAGAGTGTGTAAATATAAGTTTTTCTCAGCCTACTAGAACTTCTCCAGCGTTTTCGCTTCATCTTTAAACGACCACCAAGTGAATTGCCGCTTTTCGAATAGCGGCAGCTCGTTTCGTCTCCCCCTTTGCTAAATACCACCTTGGGTGGTGGGTCTCGGGCGCCGAGTGGTGAGAGCTGGTTTCTACGACATCGAAAAGAACCTGGATTTTACTTTCCCCCACCACTGTGTGACAAATTTACTCGAGTTGCAGGTGGCTTTTTCAGGCGGCTTTTTTTCAATTCGTGCATGTGGGAGGTGCAAAACGTGACAAAAATGTGTTAAGTGAACCACTTACTCAAGATAATATTAAACAATATTTTCTGTTTGGAATGGTTAGCACGTACAAAAATTTATATATATATAGGTTCATGGAAAGAAAACGACATTAAAACATACCGAATGCTGTTCAGGACAGGACATTGAGGCTATTTCGCATTCCTAAGGATACTCTCAAAAGGAGCATTAACGAAAGTCAAACGAATTTTCTAGTCAAGCAGTTCACAAACATGTCTTGGTCTGGAGGTTTAATAATACCTCATTAATAATGCGATTTCGCAAATAAAAAGCGACAGCAAATTCGCAATTTCTTGCCTCACAAATCCTGGCTGACGACAATGAAAGCCACAAAATGCCAGTGCAGTTATGCATCAAAACGCGAAAAAGAGATGAAGATGCGTCATAACATATGTATGCATAAAATTTTGAAAACTCTAAAGAAGTGCAAAAATTCAAATAAAGGCACCTTTATCACAGAGAAATACCGGGGTGTTTGATCTGCTAGGTGTTTTGGAGCAACACAGCGGTGGGTTCTGTCCGGTTTCATTGCGTGCAGTGCAAAGAATGGGCTCATGAATACTGTCTAGGGAAAACACGGAGTGACCTTGAGGTGCTTTTGTTGCAAAACCTGAAGTGATGCAAATTTGCAATACTCTCTATTTTTGTCCCACGCTTTCTTTCGTTTTCTCCCCATGTTGGGGCGGAATCACATATTTGGTACACGGTCTATTCTTAAAACGCGCATTCTAACGGTGGCAGCATGTTTCTGTTTATGCGGCACATACTTTATAACTTAAGGAAAGTTTCTGCGTTCACATCTGTAACTATACATATATATACTTAGTAAAATACTAACAAAAAATAATCACTATTTTATATACTTTGTCACAATTTACCCCACTCTACCCTACTTCTGAACAATGTAGTGCACTTCTACGCTAATTAGACATTCCCTGGTGCACAGTGTGACAAAATAAACGCATTTATTATTTTTTCATAGATCGAAAAGTTTACTCGCGTACTTACCAGTAAAACTTTTTTGACTGGTGTAAAAACCACTCATTTCAGGGCTTCTCCAAACTTCGTAGTTATTTGGAATAAATGTTTGACTTCACCTGGGCGCCGTACACAAAACTTCATCAGGGAGTGCAACCAGTAATTTGCTTCTATTTCGGCTTTTTTTGCTCAGAGTGTACTGCCTGACCAGGACGGCTGAAAAGGCAAGCTTTTAGGACATGACTACATGTGGGAAATGTTAATGCAATGTACCTTTGGCACCAGACACAATAAAACAAAACACTTGCTCTGAAGGTATTCTTCATATATACCGTGATGGTGCAGTTAAAGCCCTCTCAAGCACAACATGTAAGGTCGATATTGTTGAAAATGTATTGTCCCACATCAATTTAGGTGATCGTGGGACCTACCTTCCTTTGGATCTTACCATGGCACTTACGGACGCTAAAAAGATAGAAGATGGCATGTCAATGTACGAAAAACAAAAAAAAAAACGTTTACAAACTCTTCTGATAGACTCTCGTTGCAACGAATGTACACATTGAAAGACATGAATTCATTTATACAAATTAAATTGTCCCTTTTGTCTTTTAGTTTGGGGCACGTTCTGAGTCAGTTTTTCGTCGAACGGTGAGTCATAGTAAATTTGGCTGCTCTTGGACGGGGTGTTCGCCTCCGCTGCAGTCTTGGCCGGCCGAATATTTAACACTGTATTGCAAAGCAGGGTGGGTAATTCACCCCGTCCTTCAGAGGTCTCAACTTGGGCAATTGATCTACGGAAATTTTATCTCTCTTACAGAACCATAATTGACACAACATCACAATACTACGTACTTCCATTCTACCACGCTGTCTGCTTCTTCTCAGGATGCATCACATTTACCGTCGTTGAGCAATACGGCCAGACCAAGATATCTAAGGTGAGCCACCCGCATGGTACTTAACCTTGTTTTCAGTCAGCCCGTGGTTATTCATGTTCAGTGAGACGTGGTTTTCACTGAACGGGGTGGTGGTATAAAAATACAGTTTCCTAAATGTACACTGGAGGAAGCTGTGGCGCTAGTGTTTATAGGAGCTACAACGCACGGCACTTTAGCGAGCATGCGAATTATGGGCAGCACATGGATTTTTCTAGCATTCGTACACCACAAAAATATTTTGCCTGATTACGTAAGAAGGCGTAGATAACATGCTGCCAACCACTTTCGTAAAAAGAAAATAGTATAGGAAGAGATCAGGAAAAACACATGAAACGTACATCCCGTTCAATTTTCATGGAGAGCTTCGCAATGAGGAAATTATGTAACGGGTGCTTCGGAACGACAACGGCTCCGTCGGGCCATTTTGCACACATTATCATGAATACATGCCCATAAATAGCAAACTTGTTTTTATTAGATTCTACATTAGGCATACGAAATAATCAGATTTATCTCCTGCAAGTACAGGGTCATTCGAAGTTTCCCAGGCCACTATTACAACTTTATTTGTGGTAGCGTTGCCTGGGAACTTTAGACTGCGCCTACACATGCGAAAAAATACATTAAGTGAAATCAATGTTTGAAAGCCAACAAGGAGAATTTTCCTGCTCAATGAAATCAAATTTCGTTTTCTTATGATTATAAAACAAAATACAGCCTAAACATTCTGGACTGTGAGAACGAAATTGTCAAAAATTATTTTATTATTTCGGCGTCTGGAGTTTATGATACGAAGAAGGAATATCACAAAAATTTCAGATAACTATAGCACCTGTATTTCTTCTATTGTAATATTATTGTGCACACGGTTTTTCTGGAAAAGAGGAAAAACGTTTTGTAAGCAGAATCTCACAAGGTGAGTACAGAGCAAGTAATAGCACGAGCACCATTCATTTTATTTAATTCCAGAGTCCTAACAGGCCAATTTAGAGGCACTGTGTTGCAGCACAAAAATAAAGACCACACATAATGACTACTACATATTACACCAAATTAAATTGCTGAAAGCACACACAACTTTGTAAATGCACCAAAATATTCGCTAACAATATTAGTAGAGCCAAAAAGGGCAAAAGAGTAATTCAATGTATTACACAACAGAAAGATTATGGTCATTTTATGCCAGATCACCCAGCATTTTTTCGACCATCATGAATATGACGAAAGAATTATCGCATGATTCTGGAAGTGCCAAACTCGTCCTGGTGATTTAATTCAGTTGTCAAAAGTTTTCGTCCATATTTATGAGAATTGGTAGTTTGGCGTCGACTGAGTTAGAAGGCGTCAAACAACAATTTTTTTCAAAGAATGTTTTGAAATGCACTCAACAAATGAAATTCCGGCTAGGTAATGAATTGATTTAACTGTAAAATGATGACTTATTTGTGCATATCAATTCTTCGAGGGCTTTTTCACTAGCAATATTGGATAAATTTACCAAGAGTGGAATTTTTCGCTGCGAACATGGCAAATGATAAGGACACAGATGAAATATGTGCTGGTGGCCTGTTTGGCATGCTACAAATTTAAAATAATGGACGCACTGATGGTATAGCAGATAGTCTGAAAATTTGTGAATTTCAATTTTTTTTGGAAAAAGCTCCCTGTTCAGCATAAAAAACTTGCTTTGGTGGTCGGACTAAAAATATGCACAATATTTAATGTTAAAGCCCTATGTGCTTGATAAATATAGGTGAAGTTACTAGAAGGAATAGTTTTTAAACTCGAGAAATATCTCTTAAATATGTATTTCCACCAGCTTTCTGCCTACGTAACTCAAGCGACATGACGCACTCTCAAGGGCAATCTTCACCATCATCCCAGTGACCCCAAACTAAAGAAAAACACGCTTTTTAGGGGCGAAGCTCCTTAGAGCGTGGGCTGTGCGTCCCCTGTAGCCTGTATGTAGCCACCTCTAGTTTAGTTCTTGCAGTGTTCACTAGATGGCGGTACCGTCCCCTGTATGTAGCCACCTCTAGTTTAGTTCTTGCAGTGTTCACTAGATGGCGGTACCGTCTCCTGTATGTAGCCACCTCTCGTTTAGTTCTTGTAGTGTTTACTAGATGGTGGTACTTGTAGCTGTTGATGAAAAGATGCAAGATGTTATAAACTAGAAAGCGGTACTTGTAGTTGATGAAAGACGCGAGATCTTATAAAATAGGAATGATGTCACATATAGCGCGTGTCATTGGTTGAAGGCAATCGTTCGATTTAGTGCGGCGACGTACGCTAGGGGGAGCGATGTAATAAAATCGAGTGGGCAAAATGTACAGAGGATTCATGGTTTACCAGGTTTACCTCCGGAGCTTCGCCCACTCATCATCGTTCACTTCGTGGATATGGCGGAATTTTTTTTGGAGTGTGATATGGCATTATTGAATTTCCTTTACTGCTGGTTGAAAACTCACTGGCAAGGACAAAAAAAAATCTTGCTTCTCGTCACAATAATATGTGATTCTGTTCGAACTTAGTGCTTTTTGTGTTTACTTTTCTCTTTGTTTTTGCATCCATTCGTGATCTGTGAGAGTATCGCAGTGCTGTAAGTGATTTTGTAACACAAGATAGTTTTACTGGACTGAAGCGCTGTTACTGGTATACAATAAACTCACTGTTTGTTCTTTTGTGTTGTGTTTAGCTGTGCTGTCTCACGATGGTTCATATATTTTGAAGCCATTCCGCTTATTCCGCTTATTACTATTATGTCACACACTCCATACCTAATACTAATAAATCTTCGTTTAACTGGTTCCCTGCATCGAAACTGTTTTGCATCCTTAAAACCTCAAAATGAAAGCCCAATTCATCAATAGTCATGCACGAACACATGAGTGCTAGACGAGAAAAATATCCATTTTGAAATATAATAGTGAAGGTGAGAAGCCTGAACAATTGGTCCTGTGCCTTCCTAACAAGCTGGCTTCGCTTACTGCTTCAATAAACGATGCCATTCAACAAAGGTTTGCTCTATATTATTATTTTAGGCAAATAATTAATCTAAAATTATTGACATCACTTAAAATCAACAGTCAACTTCTTTTCATACAGCTGCTAGCTAGATATTGGGACAGCCCAGACAGTAGAGCCAATTCATCCACAAATGCAAAGGCAATGGGTGTGGTTCGTAGGGTTTATTGTATCAAAGTGACTGAAACCATAAGATGCCATGATGAAGGGGTTCAAATAATTTCGACCAACAGGGGTAATTTTTATGTACAGTGACAGTAAACAGTACATGAACCTGTAGAATTTCACCTTCACCAAACTGGAACCACTACAATGAGAATCAAACCAGCATCTTTCAGGTCAACAGAGAAGCAATGAACCCAACAGGCTAGGGAGCCAACTCTCAGTAATGTGGTCTAATACCCAGACTTAATAAATATCTTCAGTTGTTGGGTGCAGGCAATTCAGTGAACCACAGCATTTAAATAAAAAGGCGGCAATGCAACCTGCATGTAATCACTGAACTCTAGTATAGCTAAATAAGCAAGTTCATTATTTTGCATAATTGACACGAGTGAGCAATTGTGCCATGTGTTACCAAGCCATAATAAGGAAGCATTTATAGTCCTCTATTAGACCTATGACATGCACGTAAAATATGACACATGACTGCAAAATACCCAGCCCAAAGAGATTTTGTGTGGACATATGCATTTCCTGGTTCTGTTTTTTGATTTGTTTTTGCAATGTGCCTTTTATTTCAAGTGTTTGTTAAAAAATTTTGACAAATCTTGCTAAGCAGGACCACCGGGTGGCACATATTTTGCAACAGAAATTGCCATCTGGGTAATGGGCACCTCAGCATGAATGCACCTCAGCTGAATGAATGAAACAGCAACTTTAGCCATCTGATTTGCCTCCATTGTATTAAGTGTTGAAGCTCCACTATAAATTGTCTTATTTAGGTAAAAGTTTTTGTACTAGTAAAACATCCAGTATTGTTATTAGCGCCGACATGTTCACACAGGCCTCCCCTTTTATTATTACTGTAATTTTTTTTCTGCCAAATTTTTACCAGAATGACTAGTTCACATTCCAATTTTCTGCTTTATTATCCTTTTGTTGACGAGGACCAATAGACACTTATAGAGAATGAATGTTAGATAAGCAACTCAAATGTAGGTAATGAATGCAGACTTGTACAAGGCAGTCAGGCACAACATAGCATGCGCTTTCGATGACGCAATAATGTGAAAGGTAGTTGGAAGTCTAAAACATTCTCCAGTGCTTTCACCTCAGAATATCATTGCATTAAAAAGCATAACATAGTCTTAGAATTGTTGCAGTAATGGAACAGCCATGCAACTTTTCCCCGTTTAGTACACATACTGGTGTATTAAAAACCTTATCTACCGCAGCAAGACCCACTTCAGAGGTGGTGCGAGACGCAGACTTACCGTACTGTTTCAATATAAACTAAAATCGTCAACATATATGCTCATGATAACTGAACTGGACACGGAAAGCAGAAGAGTAGGCCTGAAAATTGATACGCATAAAACTAAACTAATGTGCAACAGTCTCGGCAGAAAACGGCCCTTCGCAATAGGTGGAGAGATGATGAAAGTTGTAAAGAATTATGCATTTATAACAGGCCTTAATCAAGGAGCCGAACCATGAGATTGAAATAACTACAAGAATAAAGATGGCATTGATGGCATTTGGCAATCATTCCTAAATTATCAATGGTCATTTGCCACTAACCCTCCAGAAGAAAGCATATAACAGCTGTATCTTACTGGCACTTACCTACAAAGCAGGAACCTGGAGGCTTGCAAAGAGGGTTTAGCGTAAATTAAGAAGAGCACAGTAAGGGATGGAAAGGAGAATAATAGGTGTTTACCCTTAAGAGACAAGAAGAGAGCAGAGTGGGTCAGGGAATAAACTAGGGTTAAGAGTTCAAATCAAGGAAGAAATGGAGATTCGCCAGGCACGTA